GCATATGAATAAGATTACCAGATTTATCCAGCATCAAGACTCCCCCGATCAACCGTAATATGTATGCTCGAGTTACAAATATAATGTCTTGCTCAGTACTATACCACACGTGACCCTTTTGTGAATGTTTTTTTGGCACCTTCCCAAGGTATGCCCCACATATTTCAAACACGTCCTGATAATTTTTTCCCACCACTACCATTCCATTTGTAGGCACCCCGAGTTGTAAAGCCACATCCTCCAAAGTGATCGTATATTCACCACACGGAAGATGAAATGTATGAGTTTCTGGTCTCCACCGTTCAATTAATGCACTGATCAAACCGGGGACCAACCTATATTCTCTTACAAATGTGACATCGTAAAAGCCCACCATTTGCAAATTCTCAACAATACGTTCATTTGGCTTCTCACAAGTGGTCACTCGACTACGAATGACTCGTTGTTCGTCATCCTGCATTTGTTAATTCATGTAATTAGAATTAATTCATCGTTCTCAAATAAAATATTATTCGATCATAATACCAGTGCTCCCAAATACTAGAAATGTGTCGACAATCTAGTCTCAAAAGAATATTTTCTTCTGTCATGCTTCAACAAATCTATAAAAAAAAATTAAATATTTCAAATTATAATATTAATCATAATTAAATAAAATTTAAAAAATAAAATATGTTTAATCAAAATAAATAGTCTAATTAATTTATATTTACAATAAAAACAAAAAATCAAAACAAAAAATTTAAACTAAACTTACCAAACCACTCGAATACGATTTAATATCTAAAATCAAGATAATACTTCAATAATTTATTATTCAATAAAAAATAAAAAATATTTTAAACTAAACTTACCAAACAACCCAAATACAACTTAATATGTAAAATCATAATAAATACTCTAATAATTATAATTTAAATTAAAAACAAATATTAGACTAAAAATTTCACGAAAATTTTAAATTAACTTACCAAACCACTTGAATAGTTTAATTTGTGAAATCAAAATAAATAAATAATTTATTTATTTTACAATAAAAACACAAAATAAAACAATAAATTTAAACTAAACTTACCAATGTACTCAAATACAATTAATATGTAAAATAAAATAATTAGTCTAATTATATTACTAAAAAATTAATGTAATAATTTAAACTACACTTACCAAGTTTTATTCAAATACAACTTAATATGTTAAATTAAAATAAATATTCTAATAATTATATTTAAGTTAATAACAAAAATTACACGAAAATTTAAATTAAACTCAGCAAGCCACTCGAATACAGTTTAATTGGTAAATTCAAAATAAATAATATAATTAATTTATATTTCAAATAAAAGTTAAATAAGAAACAATAAAATTTACACTAAATTTATCAAATCACTTACCAGAGCACTCGAATTATTTATTCCTTCTATTGAACTCTTAAGCTTACCAAACTACCCGAATTCTTTTCTTTCTCTCGGCCTCACTCAAATTTCTCCTTCACCTCTCACCCAAAATCTAACCCCCCCTATTTTATAAAAACCCAACCCGGTGCTCCATTATTGGTGTAATAATGGCACCACCAACTCACGTTGATTCCCATGCAGTTGTTCTCATGGTTGATTCCCACGCAATCAGTTATTCCCATTCATGCATGCAGCGGTTGGTTCAGACGTGAAGACGTTGTGTATTCCCCAAGTCTTTTTCCTTACCTGAAGACGTCGTGTGTTCCCGAAGTCTTCATTTATGCCTGAAGACGCCAAGTGATCCCGGAGGGTTTCATTTTGCCTGAAGACGCCGAGATTTCCTGGAGTCTTTAGGCTTGTACTGTAGAAAACACCCTAGATGGGGAAATAATGTGGGAACTGCATTATCCTGGGGGGAAAACTTCCTCAACCACATTATCCTAGCACTTTTGTCATATGATTAGAGTATCATATGAAATAAATGAAAAAAAAAATCTAAAAGAATGTAAATGATTAAAAAATATTGTATGGTAGCTCAACTTCTATTTTAGAATTCAAAGGGAATTATAATTTAGGTACTTCAAGTATTTATTTTGTCAAAAGTCATCCCTTAATTTACTGTTGTTTTTATTTCCCATTCCATGAGTTAAATTATAATAAGACTAACAAATAAAATCAAATAACTGGAGTCTCATGAAATAAATAAAAAAATTCAAAAAAATGGGATATTGCCTTGTTGACTCCTCTGACTATTAAAAGATACAAATGGTCCCCCAACTATAAGGAATTGCTTTGTTGTGTCTCTCAGCTATTAAAAGTTATAAAACGGTCATCTTACTATTCATTATGTACCAAACTCATCCTTTTTCATTCTAAAAATTAACGATAGCATGAGCTGGACGATGACTTGCTAATTGAGATGTTATGAAATATGATCTCATGATCTCAAACAACTATCATATCTCAATTAACATGTTAATGCCCAACTTAGACGATCATTAATTTTTTAATGAAAAATGACGAGTTTGGAACATAATGAATAGTCAAGTGACCATTTTGTAACTTTTAATAGTCGAGGGACTCAATAAAGTAATTTTCTAGAGTCGGAGGATGATTTTATAATTTTTAATAGTCGGGAAACTCAAAAGAGTAATATCCTATAATCATAGGATCATTTGTGTACTTTAGCCAAAATATAAATGATTAAAAAGGTATACTGTAACTCGACTTCTTTTTCAAGATCAAAGGGGATTATAGTAAGAAGCCGATCTTTTTGTTAATGAAGAGCGACATTGAAGCAAAATGAAAAATAAAGACGACCACAATGGGAGTTGAACTCACAACCTTCTGATGCGAAGTCAGACGCGCTAATCCACTGCACTATGCGGTCGTATTAGAATGTACCTTAGGCTAGTTTTTATTATTTTATTTTAATTCACCTTTAATTCAATTGAATATAAGTTTTTAGATTTGTAAGATCATAAGTTTATAGGGTAAGCTACCCATTTAGTATTTAAACTATTTTACTTTTGTTTCGTTTTAATATTTAAATTTTTAAAAAGAGTTATATCTAAAGTTTAATTTAAGTTTCATTTTGGTACTTGTCATTAAAAACTTAACGATGATGTTGACATGTCATCATAATATAATGTCATATCATCATTGGAAAAAAAATAAACCACGTCAGCAGTTCTATTAAGTTTTTAACAACGGGTACCAAAATGAAATCTAAACTAAATGTCAGGTATGATTTTGAAAACAAAATAAAGTTTGAGTATTAAAACGGAACAAAAGTAATAGTTTAGTTACTAAACATATAACTATGTTTATATTCATATTTATTTATTTATTATTATTATTATTATTATTATTATTATTATTTGTATTGGTATCATATGCTCATCATCATATTCAAATAGTCATTGAATACTGAAACTTCGAGGGGGGAAATGAAAAACTATGAATAACATGTGAAATTCATTAGAAGAAGGATTCACCAACTCCAATATTTCTGTTTCTTTTAATCCTTTGATCTAATGAGAAAGATCAACTCAATTTTTTAGTAACTAAAACACTATTATCATTTATGAATAAGGACATGAAAGCAATCTGATTCTTCTATTATTATTAATAATCTGATGTCAGGGTCTTGTAAATTTTGATGGCCATATGTCATAACAGTAAAATAGGCATTTTAAAACTAAAATATTAGATATATAAAGAAGATCACTAATATTTCAAAAATTATTATAACTATAAGAAAACGTTAAATAGTGGTAAAAAATATCTTCATGTAATAATATGGGCTTTAGACTTGAAAATTTTGGGTCAAACATCCTAAATACACATATACAAAAGACTTAAAAAAATTTGGAGGCCCTTATAAAAATTAGGCCCTGTGTAGTTGGGCAGCCCATACAAGCCCAAAATCAACCATGTCTGGTGTAAGTACATGACAATATATATTCAAATAAAACTCTTAATTATATGATATTAAACACTCAGACCCCTATCATTTATGGGAACAAGCAAGACACCCTAAAAACGGGGCTTCATATCCATTAACGTGGCACCACATTTCAATTATTAATTCAACATTCTCATTCTGATTCATGGAACCACCATTAATGGAAAGAATTCTATCTGTATAAATTGTTTGCAAGAAATGAATATACAACAAAAATAACTTTGAAAAATAAAATACTCTCAACACAGCTCCTGAGGTCTTAACAAGCATTAAACCGTGATGAAATGCCTAAATATCATATCTCGACCTTTCTTTTATGTTACATCCTGAAAATTTGTGGTTTACTGAAACTTAAAGGAGTTTTCCATTGAAAAACTCTCACTGTCTACCAAGATTCTTCTGACATTGAAATTGTTATTACGAGCCGAAACTACCATAGCAACGGTCTCATCGAAGACATGGGAAGAATCTAAGTCCTTAAAACTAACCCTCCAATCTTTAGAAAGTTTAACTCTTTTCGCGACTGTCCTTTTAGACATTACAGTTCGAGGATGCAAACTCTTACCAAAGGATGTCCATGGTTGTGATCACCCTATAATCACATTGATAGCTTCTCGTGCAGGTTGGGGTGGGTACGCAACATTGTCCCCATTTGGTTGGGCTTTGGTAGGGGAAAATATTGGTTGGGTTGTTCATCATGCATTTTTTGTTGGGGTTGTTGGGATTTCATCTTGATTGATTCTTTTTCGATCGAGAAGTAGTCCACACTCACAGTAACAATTGTTGATGGAAAAATTATGGTTATAACGGTTCATCTTTTTTATTTGGGCGGTGAGTCGCAACAGGTAACTCTGTGAAAGAGAGGCGGAGAATGTGTGATCTAGGGAAGATAGTAAACAGTAAGGGTTTAGATCCAAAGGGAATAAGAGAGATCATTTCTTCTATTTTGCATGTCAGTTTATATACATTCGATCATATTTTAAATTGTTGCCATTTTAAGTCAAAGAATTTATAATATGCATACAAACTTACTTCACTTGAATCCTGATGATGACTAAAACACATGCTTTTGAAACTCAGTCTAAAATGAAAGCATGTTTTGACTACTAAGTCAAAGTGTAATAAATAGCACACATTTTAGGTTTACCAAAATATGGCTGCAAATGTACTTCCCTGCTGATATCTTGCGAGGAAAGGCTCAACCTACTGCTGTTTGTCTCGTCTTGCCTCGGAACTCTCCCCGTTATTCTTTGGCCTCCCGGGTGCAACCTTGGCAGGAGTTGAACGCTCAGACTGAGAGAAGAGAATCGTGATTTGCATGAGAATAGTAACAATGGCTAAGCCAACTGCTGTCAACATCCCTTTCCATGAGGATAAAAGTGAAGACCATTGCAGAAATTTGAGAGCTCCATAAGCCACAATACATGCCCAAGAAGAAACAACCTGATCCAAGAATAAGAATATTGTAATCATATTTAGTTCCAGAAGCAACTCCTACAAACAATGAAAAACAAGAGAAATACCAAAAGCATTTGAATGAAATCGAAACGAAGATGGGTTAATTTTGCATAAAGAATCTCACCAAAAGAGTTTTAATCGGCTGACCAATATCCTGTAATGGTTGGTCACTAAAAGTGTCCTCAGCTACGTGTTTGTCCAACAACTTGTCCTATATGAGAAATAGAACAGAAACAAAACCATAAGAAGGAAACTAAATGCATGAACTAACATGCACAAGAACAAACATTGTTAATCATTATGCAAAAAAAGACAGATTCTCAACTTTTTCGAGGTGACGATAGTCCTTGTTTTCCTTTCAATCATAAGATTATTTTAGACAAGTAAACAAGACCACCTAGAATACAATCACGCTACAACACTAGATAAATAGTACTCACTTTCTCCACAAACATATATTTACACCATTGCGCAACAGCCTCGTCTGTTTCAGGTAGTTCCTTCATAAGATGCCGCTTAACGTGTACATGCACCTGCAAGCAACAGTATATTTTCATCAACAGAATGAACCAATAGAAAAGTCACTGATTCCATTGTCAACTAAGATATTTGAGATCAATGACATTTGAGATCAACCAGGTACATTTTTCATCACAACTCCAAAATGACATGTTTCATGCATATGAAAAGAAGAGGGAAACACAAACATTTTCCCAGACTCAATTAGTTGCTTCACATAAATCATAAACCTAGCAACACAACAAACTGAAGTTACCACAAAGTATGCACAAGTAGTTAATGATTCTTATCGTGTCAACGACCAGCAAAATTTTTGGCTTTCACTCAATGAAATTCTGAAGAACGGAGAAAATATTAACATGTTATGAAGCCTGCACATTTACTTCATGTTCTCTATTGACTCATCAGAGATATTTGACAGTATGGTATGCCTTTAAACTGAAAACAATTTTCATCGTCATGTTGAATTTAGAAGCAAGACTTTCTAGCCTTGAGGAGATATGGAGAAAATTCTCCAAGGACATATCAATATGAAACAAAATGAGAGCAGTGTTAACATTCATATCGATATATAATTATGCAAAAATGTTAAACTTGCTTTACACAGCTTGAAATCAAAATTACCACTGAAGATTACCCCTTGAAAAGTCTAAGCATTGTAGGTGAGGGTGAGCTTTTAGGAATTGCCACTGTCATGTCGAAAACAGCTGGAACAAATGGACGCATATGACTTACAGCAGAAACAAAACCCTGAAGCAACAGAGACAATGTTATCAGGCATACATTTTCATATATAATTACTACTAGTAAGGCCCATGAGATAAGTGGTCAAGAGCAAAATAACAAACTTCACCATTACAAATGAGGAAAAAAAATTGATAGAAGTAGGAGGCCTCATTAAAAACCTCCCTCATAGTAGTCTTATTCCCTAAGGAAAGAACCAACCAGCGGAAGGAGGAAAAGAATACCTCAATAAATTATTGAATAAAACATATTACATAAGACTTAAACAAACAGCATAGCCATTGTTCCCTACAAATACACAAAACAGAAAATTAATAAATCTTACAATCACCCAATCCCCTCCTTTGCTAAATTATCTGCTTCACAATTACAACCCCTAGGTATCAATCTAAGAATACATTCCTTATCTGAAACAATAGACACAATCTCTTTTACAAGATTTGAAAAAAAAACAGAAGCTGAAAAAGGAGATTTAATCCAGTCCACTGCCAACTTACAATCGGCTTCAACAATCAGCTTACCCTTCAAACCCCATTCAGAAGATAAAAAAATCTCTAAGCCTTTTTTGATAGCTTTCAATTATGCTAGAGGGGGAGGGCTAGGACCAACATTCTCTGAAAAAGATATAAGAATAGAACGATTCCAATCTCTTAAAATACACCCTATGCCTCCTATCATCCCATTACCACTAACAGCCCCATCAACATTCATCTTAAAGAAATCAACTAGAGGGGGAGTCCAGCAAAGCAATGGCGAAGACTGAACCTTAGAAACATAATATTTATCTGCCAGTGAAGGGTCTGCAATCAACAAATCAGCCTAAATATAAACATGAGGAATTTGGCTAGAAACCACTTCGCTAATCTAAATCTGACAATGAAAAAAAGCGATGTTCTGTCCAGTTTTCCTCTATAAAAAACAATGTCATTCCTCACTTTTCATATTGACCAAAAAACAGCCCCCGGAATAAACTTCCATATAATTGAACTACCCCTAAAATCAGACCACGAACTAAGAAGGGATGGACGATCACTTGGCAGAGCTAAAGAAAGATCCCAGAAGCTCATAATTTTGTTCCAAAGTTCCCACGAAAAAGAACAGGAGATGAAAAGATGCTGGACAGTTTCATCAAACTGATTACAAAATGGGCAAAGACTATCTTCTCCTAATGGAACCCCTTTTTCTTCAACTCAAATCTAACTGCTAATTTCTGATGAGAAAGTTGCCAAATGAAAGTCTCAACTCTTGGAGGAACTAAACCCAACCAAACCCATTTCTTCCACAAAAAATTAGCCTCAGGAAGCAAAGATATAGACATCCTACAAGATTTAACCGAGAACAACCCATCACCCTCCCATTCCACATTAAAAAATCATCTACTGAATCGGATAATCTAATGTTGTTCAGCTTTACCATTAAATCTAACCACTGTGTCACTTCCCAATCACATAAGTTTCTCCTTGTTTGTACATTCCAAACCCAACCATTTGAATCGAAACTACCAAAACCAGCCACATAACCCCTTTGATTTGTTAAAAGAGCATAAATCCTAAGAAATGAGATTTCAGAGAAGAGTCCCAATCCAAACATCATTCCAAAAAAGAATATATTTACCATTTCCAACTTGAAACTTCGCGTGAGATCTAAGACAAGCCCCCACAAAATCATCCTTCAAGAAGTTATTGACAATTCCTCTCCATATACAAGAGTCTTGAGAAGAGAAAACTTAGTTAATTGCCATGGTATTATAACTAACATTGTATTTGCAACATAAGATTTTTTTCTATAGTTCCTTTTCATTGGCAAACTTCCAAACCTATTTTCCCAATAAAGAACGATTGATAAGATTCAGATCAAGAACTCCCAGTCCTCCAGTACTCAACGGTTGCAAATATTCTTCCAACTCACTCAGTGAATTCTCTTTTTTCCAGCTCCCGATCCCCAAAGAAAATTAGCATCCAAGAATTAATCTTCTGACTTATTTTACAAGGCATCTTAAAAATGGATAAGAAGAACATGGGTAAGGAAGACAAAACCGATTTCAAAAGGACCACTCTACTAGCCTTAGATAGAGAAAAGGATTTTCAACCTGCCAACTTCTTGTTGAAATTCTCAAGAACCGGTTCCCATAGAGACTCAGAATTCTTTTTGGCCCCAAGAGGAAGGCCTAGATAAACCAAAGGGAACGAACCAATTGAACAACCAATGGTCGAAGCCCATTCTTGAAGGATGGCATTGTCCACATTTATACCATAAAGCTTACTCTTATATAAGTTTTTATGAAGCCCCGCCAATAAGCTAAAAATCCTCAAAACTCTTCTGACATTTTTAATTTGAGTAAGAGAGGCTTGGCAGAAGATAATAAGGTCATCAACAAACTAGAGATGATACAGTGTAAATGGATTCTCCAGCTTACCAATAGAAAACCCTTGAAAAAGACCAATTTCAACTGCTTTAGATAACATCAAATGGAGCAATTCACCAACCACATTGAATAAAATAGGAGAAAGACTACAACCATGTCTTAACCCTTTGGCCATAGGAAACTCTTATGTGTGGGAGCCATTTACTAAAACAATTGAAGCTAATGATAAACAATAAGAAATCCACGAACACCATCTTTCACCGAAACCCATCTCTTTCATTAATCTAAGGAGGATAGGCCATTCGACAGTATCATAAGCTCTACGGAAGTCCACTTTGAAAACAACCCCTTTAAGGCTTTTCTTCCTCCAAAAATCAATGTCTTCATTAGCCATACATGCACAATCCAACAACTGCCTTCCTGGGATGAAAGCAAATTGGGAAAGGCTAATAACGTCTTTGACACAAGATTGTAATCTCTTAGAAAGAACTTTTGAGAGAATTTTATAAAGACTACCCACAAGACTTATCGATCTATAATCTTCTAAACTCTCTGGATTACTTTTCTTTGGAATCAATGTAATAAAAGCATGATTAACCCCATGACTCCACTTTCTTCCCTTATAGAAGTCTAGAAAAAAACTTCATAATATGCTCATTTACGCTCGACCAATATTTCTTGTAGAAACCCATTGTAAAACCATCCGGGCCAGGGGATTTAGCACTATTAGAGGATGAGATTGCTTGCCATTTCATGTTCTGAAAAAATCTATCAAGAGAAGCACTTTTAGAAGCTGACAATTGTGCAAAATCAAAATTCATAAGCTCTACTTCCAGTATTGATTTGGTACTAAAAGCCTCCTTGAAAAAGTTATAAACACTGGATTTAATCTCCTTAGGATTGGAAATTACCTTCCCTTTGAATTTCAAGGAATAAATAGCATTGACTTTATTCCTATTCAGAGCATTAAGATGGAAAAACCTCGTGTTTCTGTCTCCATCTTTGATCCATCTCGCTCTTTACTTCTGAAACCAAATGTTCTCGTCAATCCTCATCAGTCTCTAAAAATCCTTTTTGAATTGTATCAACTGATCCCACTCCCTCACAGGTAGAATTCCTCCTTGTAACTTAATCTCTAAAGCATTAATTTTACCTTCCAACTCTGAAATTGAATCTGCCAACCCAAGATGAAATCTGTCATACCAGTTTCTAATCATCTTCTTAGTACCCTGCAACGTAGTGAAAATTCCTCCAGTAATATTCTTCTTCTTTGAATATGCCAAAAAGGATTCCACAGCCTCATCGAAACCTTCTTCCTCTAAAAGATAATTAAAAAAATGAAACGGTTTAGGGCCCCATTTTTAACTACTATCCTCCAACACTACCGGATTATGATCAGAAATTGATTTCGGCAGAAGACGCTGCAAAATATTAGGAAAACTTTTCAGGAAACTGCCAGAAATTAGAAACTGATCTAGTCTACCCATGTTGAAGACACTCTATTGTTGCACCATGTGTAATTTCATCCCGACAACAGAAGATCAATGAGCTCAACTTATTGTACAAAGGACCAAAACAGATCAATGGATGCCAATTTTGTGTTTTCCCTAACTTTTCTTCTGGATCTAAATATGCATTAAAATCACCCCCTATACAAACTGACAAATTCACAGTAATTACATAATTTAGCAACTCCCTGAAAAACTCTTCTTTATTAGCTTCTATTGAAGGACCGTATACATTTACAAAGGCACATTACATTTTGAACTCCTTAAAATTCCAAAATATTGTTATAAACCTACTGTTAATCTGCTGGCTTGTAACATGAAACATGTTTTCATTCCACAAACAAAAGAGCCCACCCGCTAACCCCTGTGCTAGAGAATAACTCACTCCCTTTAGAAAATTTCCCCTATTTTCCTTTTAATCATCAAATGGTATTAGTCTAGCTTAGTTTCTTGTAAGAAAAGTATGACTGGTTTGATCTTCTTGACAAGCCTTGCCATTACTCTGGACTTCTCTCTTCTTCCTAAGCCTCTTATATTCCACGATATAATTCTTAGTTTAGACATTGGAAAAAATTAACACCAAACTCAAAAAACTAGAATCTAGAAAACCACTTTTTCTAACATTTCATCCTTCCCTAACAACCCCCAGTCCTTCCTCCGGTTTAAAAATTGTCTATAAAAGCTTTCTTCCCTTCCTTTAAAGAGATTTCCAGCATCTGACATACTTCTCATGTTGCTAAAGCTTCATCAAAAAATGTCGAGAAATGAGATGAAGAAATTGTAGAATTACTAACCAAGTTAAGAGGTTCACTAATCAAAGTTCTTCTCCTCCTTCTGATGTCTTCTTCAGACCCTGAAATAGCATAACAATCTGCTAATATACTCTCTTCCATCAAACTGGATTAAATAGGAATCTTCGTGTTATTCTGAGAATTGACAAACCCATTTTTAACCAATTCGTGGCCTTCACCCAGATCTGCTGTAATGGTCATTTGATTAATTTTAAAACCTCTCAACTCCTTATCTTGTACCGTATAAACCTCTAGTTGATTCTGAACTACTTCATTACCTGATCGAAACCATACTCGCATTTCTTTGGACCTGATGTACACTCTAGCAGAACTTCTTTTCCC